GCTCAGGTTACAGTTGGTTTAGGGATGGCTTCATGGTGGTTGGGGTGGGTTTAGGGTGGGTTTAGGGTGGGTTTAGGGTGGGTTTAGGGTGGGTTTAGGGTGGGGTGGGTTTAGGGTGGGTTTAGGGTGGGTTTCGGGTGGGTTTGGGGTTGGTTTAGGGTGATTTTAGGGTTGGTTTGTTGGTTTTTAGGGCGGCTTTTGTGTTGCTGTAGGATTGGGTAGAGCTTGTTAAGGGTTGGTAAAGGTGTGGGTTTAGGCTGGATCTAGTTGTGGTTTTGGCTGGGTTTAGTGGGGGTTTAGGATTGGTTTAGGGTCGTTGGGGCTGACATTACGGTGGGTCTGGAGTAGGTTTAGGATGGTTTCGGGATGCTTTCGTGACGTTTGGCATGGGGATTGTTTAGTGCTGGTTTGGCGTAGGTTGCAAACACGATCCTGGCAGTGTCGCTGAGAATGTGGAAGCTAAAACAACCGCCAGCAAGCAGCCGCGAAAGCCAACCGAAACACCCACCCAGTTGCGACCGGCCGCCCGACCGGGGCCCCTTCCACGCCCCAGCCCGCCAAGAGTGGGAGAAAGAAAACTCGCCCGTGAAAGTATGTGTGTGTCAAAAAACAATTGACCCTCTGGTCAGTGGCTGGTGGTCCCTCCAAAGTTGGTGGGACTATCCTGTGCTACTACCCGGGACGAAAGCATGCCCAATGTCGCTAGACAAAAATGACCCGCAGGCCCTGAGCATGTGGATTCCGGGGAGGGGTTTGGAGCAGGTTCCGGGCAAATCAAGCAGATTTTGCATCCAAAGCTGCACAAAGCAAGGCAAATGGCTTCGTTCATGTCAAGCTTTCTAACCGGCTATGGTGGTCAGCAAACATTTCTCTACAGAAATTTCGGAGTAGTCCTCGCCAGTGAAAGCCCAAGCTTGTGGCTTACGGGTGCGAGGCTCTCGAAACTTCACTTCGGCCAGGAATCTCCGCCGTTTCTCCTGCGAACACAGCCAACACCGCGGGGCCATAGGGGACCTTTTGGAAACATCGGCGGCCCAATCCAAACCAGTGTCATCTATATGTGTATACATATTTGTATATATACATGTCCAACCACACTAACCCTACGCGCGTCGCGCCGGAAAAAAAGGAAAGAGCGCCAAGCGTGCATTCCCATGACCCTCATACGCTCGCACGTCAGCCCTGCCTTGACAGCGAGCGACATGCTGCTGGTATAGGGATTCGCGTTGAGAAACTGCGACACATTGGACACACTCACCTGACCCCCGGCGGTCGGGCTGCCTTGCCTCAGCGAATTCCGGAAGGAAAGCTTCTCAAGCTTCTGTAGCCCAGGGACACTGCAGACAAAAGGGCGCAGGAATTGAAACAAAAGACGGCATCCACCGCTGTTTTGCCCATACGGAAAAACACACAAACACACCTAGGTCCTCCAGTAGAGTGGTTAGAATAAGGGTACCATTGTTTTTTCTGTAGTCTATTCTAGTAGAGGAACCCCCCCCCAAAAAAAAAAGAAACGGTAAAAGGGGGTTGTTTTTGAGGGCCCATGAGGAATCGGTCGCTTTGGGTTCTCCATTGGAGGGTCCTGTGGTCTGCATTGGAGGAGTCATGACCCTTGGCCCTTGGGGTGTTCAACCTTTGTTGCAGCATTTTCTGAAGTCTGCCCATTTGTTTTAAGCACGCGATTGCTTTTCTTCCAGAGCTCCAGTGGTGCTCTTGCGTCCTTGAGTTCCTTTAGCATCAACTTCCTGGAAGGCTTCGTGTTTGGCCTTGGAATGTGGGCTCCGCTCACTCCACTTGGGCGGGGGGATCCTATGCACCAAAAACCCGCGAGCCCCAGAATGCTCGGCCCTTTCTGCCTTGGAGCTGCTGATCTGTGCCTACATGGGAAACTCGTGTCTAGGTCCCACGAGGCCCCAAAATCCATCGGGACCCGAAAAAGACCAGAGGCGTCGCCGCCCGCTTTTTGGAGCTTCGCGCCGAATCAAACCCGGGGCCGCCGCGGGCTGCAATGGGCGGAAGGTGCCGAAGCCGAAGTCACCGGGCAAACCAGGGAGCTGGGCCTGGGACGTTGAAAGGGGAGAAATATATATATATATATAAATGTTAGCAGCCAAGTGGATTCGGATTTCAACCACTAAATCACAATAAGCAAAAATGGGGAAAATGTGTCCCAACAACATGCCCAGCCAGGTCCTCCAGTAGAGAGCTTAGAATAAGGGTTTTTTCTGTAGTCTATTTTAGTAGGGGAACCCTCTCCCCAAAAAAGGGTGAAAAAGGGCACTACTGGGGGACCTAGCCAGTCATGGAAAAAAAGGGGCATCTTCTTTTGGTTGGTTGACTTGAAAGGGGGAACCCAGCCCCCCAAAAAAAACGAAAAAGGGCGGTCTTGATGTTGCGCATGGTCACATGCGCTGAGGCTTCACAAGTTCAAGACGCTGATGCAAACGTCTTCCAATCCAAACCTATGCACAACTCACAGAGGGAACGAACAACTGAAACCTGGGCTGCCCGTTTTCTGATCCCCTGCTGAAGTGACTATCCTTTAGTGGGCTAGATGGAAACTACCACCAAACCGACCAAAAACCAAAAAACCTAAGGAACCGGATGGCTGGGAGCCACCAAGGGATGGTTCCCTCTTGATGTAAACCAACCCCGACAACAATGCACCCTCGGAAAAAGACACGCCCAAATGAATGGTACTTGGATGTGCCATTGTTTGCGGAAACAAAGCAACTTGATTCCCCAAAATGGCTTTAAATGTCCTCTTGAATTCTGTGTAAACCAACGCCAACAAGGGTACCGAGCCTCAAACAAAGACACACCCAAATGGATAGTACTTGAATGTGCCATGGTTTGAGGAAACCGAAGCGACTTGCTTACTTGGATTGTCTCTACGACCTTTACGTAAAAGTAGAGGTTCCCTTTCTGTGGGTAAAGGGGATGATGAAACCAAACAGGAATTGTGCCAACACACAGCCTGATATGTGTGTGTTTGTATGCTGTTTGTTTGTGTGCGTGTGTGGGTGGGCTGGTTTTCAATAAACCATTCTACCAAACTGGTTGCGTGTGCCGGCAGCCAGCTTTGCACAGGGTTGCTTATTTTCTTGGAATCATGAGCTGCGTTCAACGAAAGAAAGGTGGGTCTGCATAGGTGGCCTTTTGTAAGAGAAAAGGGAAATAGATGGCACTGGTGTAGTGTGGGGTGCATCCTCATGAACCGCGTAAGGCAACGACGAACAGGTAAACAAGCCAAAATTGACACGGGCCCTCCGCACGCACGCATGCGCAGACACAGAGACACACACACACACGCACAAACACACGCATGAAGCAACACCATGAACCAGATGACCCTGGTGTGACTCTCGCCACGTGCTCGCACAAGACTGCTAGACGTGGCTGGTTGGGAGCTCCAGTTGAAGCCGGGTCAATCTGGGATACCTAGAACTTCCTGCGGCGGAATTTTCTGCCGCAACGCATTGCGGCGGAAATTCCCGCCGCATTCCAGAAAATCAGCCGCAAACAAACAAAAACGCCGCAACCAAAACAAAAACGCCGCAACACCGTTTGCTTTCCGGGAATTTCCGCCGCATTCCCGCTGATTTCCGCCGCATTCCCGCCGATTTCCGCCGCAAATCAGGGGGTAGAAAAAACTGAAAACAAGTTCTGCCGCAATTCTAAAAAAACGTCGCAAATCAGGAAGAAATGCCGCAAATCCAAAAAGGCGCCTTTTTTTATTTGCGGCAGAAATTTCTGCCGCAACGAATCTCTAGGTATGTTACTGTTTCATCGCCCGTGAGCCTATGTTTCGAGATTGCTTCTACTTGCTTCTCAACCCAAGACTTTGGTTATGCGTCTCAGCATCTTGCAGCCGGTGCGCTTCTTGCGGGCTCTGCGGGGCTCCTTTTGCCTCAGCCTTCCTTTTGCTCGGTGGCGTTACCAAACAGCTTTTGAGCTGCTTGGCCCGTACACTGCTTTTTTTCTTGGAGGTCAGGCTGATTCAAACAGGGGTTTGGTTTCGGCCAGCACACGCAGCGCGACCCCGACAATGAAAGAGAGCCCTGTTTTCAGCCATGTCCTTCGACTGAGCGTGGTCAGTCGCAACCAGAGCAAGCGGCTTAAGCTGGCCCAGGCGCGGGCTTGAGCTGAGGCAAGCCACGGCAAGCCAACCATTGGCAGGGCCGCCCAGCGGCTGCGCACCCCCCAACTGCTTTACGCGGACCACATGCAAATCCAACCTCTCTTAACACAATGACCACGAACACTGCTACAAGCGAACCGCAACAATTTGTTGTGGTTCTTTTATGGCCATGGAAATCGCAAGAGAGTAAAGCGAATACCTTGGTCGAGGTATACAGCGAACTGTGAAGGCAGTCGAACTACATCTGGCCGCAGGTTGTTGCAGCTGAGGCAAGCACGGGCCCGGCCAGCTTGGAGGAAACCACGGGCCGCAGCAAGGGGTGCTCGAATCGAAATGCGCAGCGCCCCGCACAAAAGCGAACCGCAACAATTGGTTGCGGTTCTGCTATCGTCATGGGCCGCGCAATGAGGCAAGGCGGGCAAGAACCGCTGGCCGGGACGGAACCGGGACCCGGATCCGGGACCCGGATTTGGGACCGCCCGGAATGAATCCGGGACCCGGGCGGGACGGGACCCAGATCCGGGACATGGATTGGGGACCCGGATTCGGGACCACCCGCCGACTTGGAATGAACCCGGACGGGAAAAGCAGCGGAGGCGGCTACAGCGGGCAATTGTGACCTCTACAAACCCTTATACTACTGTACCATGCTTCCATTAAACTCAAGGCAGCCTTCAAAAAGCAGTGCCCTGTATTAGTATGAAAGCGCAAACTAAAAAGGACACCTATGTGGGTCTGAGTCTTGCGCAATACTCGGAATAATCCACATGTTGTGATTGTGAGAAGTTGCCTGCCCTCCCAACACAAGAACAAAACGTAGGAGTTGACAAGATCTTTCCCAACTGGAATCCGGCATGCATCAAGCTGCTTCGTATACCGTGTTTCCCATGCAAAAGGCCAAGCCTTTCATCGGCGGATTGCCAGACAACCACTTCCAGTCGGACTCGGACGCTCCGCACTGAGAATCCAACACGTTCACATTGCACATCAAGTCGTCCAGCCTCAGAACCGGCTGGAAGCAAAAAACCGGTCAGGCTGCCAGAGGCCAGCCGAGATCTGTTTGTCAAAGCACCCAAGACTAGGTCTCCTCCAGTAGAGGGGTTAGAAGAAGGGTACCAACTTTTGTTCCATCCATTTTAGTAGGGGAGCCCTCCCCCCAAAAAAGGGTGAGAAAGGGCACCTAGCTAAGGAACACCTCGAAGGGCTGTGACAAAAAAAATGGAAGCGTGAGAAAGGCGGTGTCTCACTTTGGGTTAATTGCATCAGCCGCAAGGTGATTGCCACAAAGCTGCGAGGCATTAAGAGATGGAATCAGCACAAGAATGCAAAATCAGCACAGGAACCATCGGCTTCGGTCGACAAGAGCCTGATACGCTTCTTTTTTCACGGGTCATTTTCTCGTGGTTGGGCAAACCGCAGGTTTTGGTCCATGTTTCCCACTTACCAGGGCAACCCATTTTGGAATTCCGGTTTTTTGAGCCACAGCCATATGAGGTTCCAGAGTCGGACATGAGTACTGCCTGGCCCTGCCACATGTCTCACGCTTGGCTGCCCCGCGATACCACTGAGCCCACCTGGCCGTCCTTTCTTTCCTGAACCGCGGGCCCCCCGCGGTTCGGGCCGCGTGTTTTGGGCTACGTGGATCTGCAAGGTCTTCGTGGCTGAAGGAAATGAAGACACTCGGCTGATCAAAGGATTCGGCGTAGGATTCCACCGGCTCCTCTACTCCTCTACCTCCCCGTCCCATCTTTCTATTGAGACCCTAAGAGCTTCAGGCGAAGAAAGACGCGCATCGCTTCTTCCAAAGGCTTGACTCGACTCAGCAACCGGTCCACACTAACTGTCCTTTTGGGTTGCGACCCATACCCAGCCAACATCATGCTCGGCTAAACGGACATGTGGAAAACCCTCTCCACCAGGAAGTGTCCTCCAGCACCATCAGCTCATTGCTTTGCTGCTGCAGCAGCTGGAAGGCCTTGACCACGCCTCGCGTTCAAAGCTTCAAGCCGGAAAGCTCCAAGTTTCCCCCTGGTCGGACACATGTGTTTTTCTTGTTTTTTGGGGGACCCCTCAAAATGGTGAATTTCGGGTTGGCGTCCATTTCAAAACATTCCAAAGAAACGGCACTCAAAAGCAGAAGGACTTCTGACTGCCCTTTTGAACTCCACTCAGAGCTGTGCCCTCAAAGACTTCAAGTCTTGCTGGTACCAGGCATCAAGGGATTGATCCCGAGAAAGCCATCCCTCCCAATGCGCTTCGCCCCTCTTTCGCGGGGAGCCAGCGTTTTGGTTGCAGCAGGACGCGAGTAGATTTGCTGCACACCTCTCTGTAAAGGGAGTCGGGTCTGCAATGTAAGTGCACAGGCAGACCTCCAAGAACCCCACGTGAACTCGCCGATCTTTCGCGGAGAGGCTTGAACCAACACCCATGGTCACCAGATACAGCACGTCCTCGCAAAGACCTTGTGATCGAACCTTGGGAAACCAAATAAAACTATTCCCAATTCTTTGTGGTTGGCAGAGTAAATGGAGACTTCCAAACTTCTCGCCTGGCAAAGCCAATGGACACCAGAGCAAACTTTTGGTTGGGTGCCCAAATGAAAAAAACAAACCGCCTCAGACTCACAGCCGGAAGCTCCATGTACGGCCTCTTAAATTGATTTTTTCCAAGTCTTCCCATTTCGGGATGACAACCTGGACAGCTTCCCTGGACTCGACCGAGCGACGCGTTCGACCAACCGCCCCGCCCGAAGTCCAAGCGCCTGCCAGGTGGCCTTCGAAGAGGTGGGCGGCATCCCGCAGGCGCTGCCGGGCCGTGGCCGGCGTGCCTGGCGCTCGAGGGTCGCTCGAGGCCGCGTCGACGGGATCCGCCGCTGGAGCGCTTGGATCGGGGCGGAGAACCGCGAGTGAGTCGTGGGCGGCTGCGGCTGGACGGCGGGCTGGGCGGGGTCAAGAGCGGAGGGCGCCGGAAGTTGGGTCGAAGAGATCTTGGAGAAGAGTGCTGGGTTTGTTGGAGGTCGATTTTCTCAGGTCCCCTTCAAAGGGTGGAAACCCATTCTGAGGTCCAATACACCTCAAGTAGTTTACGATTTCCACAAGCCAACTCAACTGGTGCAGGAATTCATCCATGAAGAGTAGTAAGTAGGTTATCATCAGGGGTCGGCGTCTGGGGAGGGAAACTCAGATGCCACTTTGTTGACGATGATGATTAATAAGATATTTGACTACACATGTCAGGGCCGTCCCACTAGTCATGAATATCCCAAGGGTCCCAAGAGAGTGGGGTCTCCGGAGTCCCAACTTTCCAGAGGAAAAAAAACTGGAACTCAGAAGTTTCAAGGGGAAAACCACTGGGTGGCAAGCATACTGAGCAAAAGCTCGATCACCTTTTCAAGCAAAGTGGACATGGTTTTTGGCTTTCTCTCTTTTTGAGGGAACCCTCAAAATGGGTGGTGTACGCCTTGGTTTCCCTTTTTCAACTCCGTCCAAGAAGGGTACCAACTCCAAAGAAACTGACCGCACCCATTGGTGTGAAGGCTTCCTGACTTGGATGGACATGGTGTAACACTGCAACACTGGCCAGTAGGGGCGAAAGACCGAGACTACCCTCCCTCTCACTTTCATGGCAACTGTGGGAGGGTACCTGGAAGATCAATTTCCTCTTGTAACCCCCTGTCAGGTGCCAAGTTAGTGGAAGGGAGGGTAATAGATTTGTCTATTCGGGTCTAGTAGGGTTCCTTTTGGGAACCAATTCCAGGGCGTCCCTTCTTTGGGGGGGCGGCCTGACATGGGATAAGTGTGTCATGTCTTGGAAAACAGCTTGGTAAAGTAAGAACCATCTTCAAAGGGTGGGTGTGCCTGAATTGGATCAACATGCAAAGTATCAACATGTTACAGAATGGACAACATATTGATTGGGTTGCTATCGTGGGCGTGGCTGAATGGTCATCGTTCTACAAATAAACATAAATGGCTTATATTAGAAACATCCTTGAAGCGCTGTCTAAGACAAGCTCGGCAGATTGTCTTAGAGGCGCGTCCCATGTCCGTTGCATTTTTGGAGCCAGGGTTCCGCTTTTTGACTACACACTGTCACACTGGTAGACTCAAACCAAGGGGTGCTTGATTCCCCCCAAAGAAAAACCTCTGGGTGTAAGTCTACCTTGAAGCCCGTCAAAAAGTGGAACCCTGCAAGTCGTTGTGTAGAACATGAACGAAAGAGCAAGTAGGGCGAGCCAAACTGGACCCGACGACTTTTCCAAGCCGTGGATGCACGAAAGCCATTTCGCACTTGGGATGGATGAAACCAACTGGTGCGAAGCGAACTTTTTGTCTCCACATCCACTTTCATCTTGCCCAACTGTTTGCAGCCCGAGCTGACCCAGAACCAAAACCTTTCAGTGCGCAAACACAGGTGCCATTTTGGGGGGAAATAGATGGATTTCCCTGGATGAAACAACCAGAGCAACCAGGAATTGCCATCTACTTCCTACCCTCCCCCAGATTCACATGGAAGCTCCCGAACGGACCCCGAAATGGAAGACAGAGGCCAATTGAGAGCTTCCATGTGAGGCAGTGTACCACAACAGCCCCTTCCATCGATTTCCGGCTCCAGCCCCGCGACCCCGGGAGCCCGAATCCGGCTCCGGGGCTCCCTCCTGGCATGTCAGGCTCAAAGTCTGTGAAGGGCTCCTGGCCACGGCGTTTTCGCGGCGGGGCCCGGCTCCCTTGGCTTGGGTCCTGGACCCTCAAACTGCCCAGAAGAAAGGGTTTTGTCATCCGCAGCTTTGGCTTTTTTTTTACCCGGCCCCCCGCCCCAAAAATGGCTCGGCCCAATTTCAGGGTACACCCAAACAAGAGTTACTTGGTTCTGTATGCGAACCTCGAAATATGTGGCGGACGTGCCTTTCTTGTTCTGAGGAGAGCCTAGCAGAAGGTGGACTAGCCAAAATCGAAGACCTCCTTGGGTGATTTAGGCGTTTGGTCGAAATCCAAAGATCGCCCAACTACTCACAACTCAAAGAGCCTCACATTCGCCGTGCTCGTCACACATTTCTGACCAAACTGGGCCCCATCAAGCAAACAGAAAGCAAGCAGAGCGCAGTTCGCAAAGCCGAACCCAGTTTCAGCCGCCGGGGCCCACGAATCCCCAGCTGCCCTTTGGCCAAAAGCAGAGCTATAAATTCCCAAGCCGTGGACTTGGGAGAGTTTGGGATGCGAGGCAAGCCTCACGCCGTCAAACAAATGGTCATGGGGGCGAAAAAATCCATGTCGCACCGTTCAGAGATCCTGTCTGATGATTCCGCTATAAATGCAGTAACAAACGTTCTGGTTTCATCCCCATGCATGGTTTCATTCGCGAAATGGATTTTGCAACCATCCACAAAACGCCACTGAACCAACTCAACACATCTTGAAAAAAAAGAGTTGTGATAGATTCCCTTTAAAGCCAACAGGGGAAAAATCAAAAATACTCATTTGGCTGCGGGTCAAAAATGGGTACCCAAAATTCAACCCTGGTAAATGGAAATATGAAATAACATCTGCGGTCCGCTGGTTGCTTAATTTTGACCCGCAGCCATTTCAGCAAATGGACGGAAATATCTTATCTAAACCCTCCAGAGCCGAATAGCTGGGGCCCTCGATCCATCGCCTCCGGGATCTGCGGAGTGCTTGGAGCCGGCATTGCGAGCGAGTGGTTTGAACCACGTCACTCGGATGGGAAAAGGGGTCTGAAGTGTGTGTGCCAGCTTAGGGCTATCAGCTGGAAGTCGTAATATGGCACTTGGCCCTTCCCAACTTCCCATCTTCCCCCCCCATTCTAATTTCTCACATGTTCGAAGGGGTCGTTTGTCTATCTCCTCAAACACAATGACTCGACCAAAGCGGTGGGAAAAAAAAGCACAACGAAAAGGATCGACCAAAGCGGTGGGAAAAAAAGCACAACGAAAAGGATCTGTAATTCGAATCCGTTTTTTTTGGTGCCGGGCTCTGAGCCCATTGCTTGGTTGACGTCGAAAGGGGAGCAAACAAATAAATAAATAGCAGTTAAGTGGTTGGATTTCAACCAGTAAACCACAATAAGCCAAAATGTAAAATGGTTCCCAACAATAACCGAGATTGCTTTTTTGCGCCTGCCATTGTGTTCTTCTGGAGCCCCACGCGAACGAGTCGGTTGGCTCGTCCAAAGCTTGAGGCGGCGAGGCCGATCTCGATGGATTCGAATGCGGCTTTTGGTGGTTTTCAACACTAGGGACCTCCCCGCTTTTGGTATGGTTTACTGGGCCGCCCTCGGATCCCCCGCTAAAAGTGACTAACTTTTGGTGGGTTAAATTCGGAAACTACCACTATAAACAATAAAAAGCCCAAAGGCTAAGGAACCGGATGGCTGGGAGCCACCAAGTTGAGCCAGAAACGAGCAGGAACCCACCTGGAGGGGTCCCGAAGTTGGAGAAACATCTACTGATTCGGATCCGACTCGCAAGGGAGATTGATCTCCCACAGATACCATGCTTGTGAGTAGGAAAGAACCGAGTTGCTGATTCAGAACTGATGCAACCTAGTGGTGACTACTATTTTGGCCCACTGAGGACAAAGGGTCCGAATCAGTACCGAAGACATGCGGCAAAGTCAAAGATCCAAGCCCAACACCCAGTTGTGTGTGTGTGGGTCATGATCATATATATATATATGTCATGATCATCTATATCTTTTGTAGCGGAAAACCTGGTTTTCCAGAGAACAAATACCTCCTCTTTAGCCACGGATGGTCATGATACCCTTATCATACCCGGAAAAAAAAAACGTGGGTCTTGAGCGTAGGGGTTCGGTATACACATAGCTCCAGTGGTTCGAGAAAGGGGTCGTTAGGAAGGCGACTGGAATTGATTTCAGGCGTGGAATGCCAGGCCATCATGGCCTGTGTCAGGAGGCATTTGGCCGGGGCTCAAAAATAGGATCGGCCCAAAAATGGCAAAACGAAAAATGGACAAGTAGACAAAAGAACTCAGCGGCCGGCTCTTAATATCTTAAGGCGCGCCCAAAATGGGGACCGCCCACAAAGGCGTCAAGGGGGGCTATATGCCAACCCCTTGCCAAGCTTGCACTTCTCCGATCCGCTTCTTAGCGCAATCCGGAAACTCCCGAAAGTCTTGATCTGAACTAGGTCCTCCAGATTTCACAGGTTAGAATAAGGATACCCGACGTTTGTTTCTTCTTCTTGTTATTCGGTTTTGTCTATTTTAGTGGGGGGACCCTCCCCAAAAACAAGGTGAAAGGGCACTACTAAGGGACCTAGTAAAGCCACGACTTCTCGAAAACCAAGCAAAACCTGCCTTCCGCCAATGCGAACCCTGGAGATTCATCACTGAACCGCGTGGGGTTTACATATCCGGGGACACCCCGGATAACCCAGGTGACGGCCCCACGAAGCGCCTGGCCTATGTACAACTCCACGCCCCCGCCTTGCCGAAACGGGCGGTTTGCTTAGCTATGATTTTCAAGCGGTTGGACCCCTTGATTGACATCAGACTTCGGGGATGCATGTCAAACCACTTTTGAGGTGGCTCCCTATTCACATTCATGGCCATAGGCGTCCTTTTAGGGCAAATAGATGGCCCTGGTAATTTTGATGATTAAACCACCGCCCTATGTTCATGGCCACTTGCAAGCGAAAGAGAGTACTCCGTGTGTCCGTCTTTGCATAACAATATGCACGAGCGTCAACGGGTCTGCTTGGCCCCAGTCACATGCCTTCATACCTTGCGACCTTTCCCGGCTCTGCAGCAGAAGTTTGCAGAAGCATTTGCAGGCATCTAATATCAGGTCTCGGTTGCTTTCTGCTCCCCTGCTAAAAGTTTAACGTTTAGTGGTTTTATTCGGAAAACCAATTTGTTGGCAAAAGGTTAAAGTCCTAACAGCCAAGCAAAATGCACCAAAGTAATATCAGGTACTATGCCCCTCCCTCCAAGAATCATGGAAGCTGACGATGGGAGGGTGGGGAACTGTGCCATTCCCAAAAAAGGGAAATGGGCAGCTCGCACAAAGGTTCCCTGGATTAAACTTCGGGTCAAATCCTTCCTCGGGTTTGCGTCAAAGGACTTGAACCGCTAGATTTCGTGTCCTCTTGTGCGCCACCCACCTGAGGGTGAAATTCAGATACATCCGCTTTGCCTGGCTATAATATTATAATCACCGTGGTTCAAAGTGAGGCACCCCCTGTTGGTGAAATACTGTGCATGGACGAAATCCTGCACCACCCGAGGTGGCTGAAACCCGGTTGAAAAACTGAACAGGCCACCTACCAACTAAAAAGTGCAGGGTTTCGTCTATCCAGAGTAAACCAGGACTGTACGCTACTTTCCCTTCGTTCCCTTCAGAAGAGATGCAGGGAAGGAGAAATGGCATGAGCATGCCATCCCGAGCAAAAAACAACCCTCCGACCGGCGTGATGTCCTTTCGGCCTCCAGAACCTCAACCCGTGGTGTGCCCTAAGGGTCATGACCCCTCCAATGCAGACCCCAGGACCCTCCGATGGAAAACCCCGACCAATTCCTCATGGGCCCTCAAAAACAATTCATGTTGGGGCCCCAAAATCAATCGGGACCCTTAAAATGGGCAAACAAAATGACAGCTTCGCACTGAGACGTCTGCTGGTGGCATCAAAGACTGCAACGCTGAGCTCACTCAGCAGGGCCTCGAGTCGAGGGGGCGCCCCTGTTTGAAAAATGGAGACCCCTTTCTTCCATTTGCGCTGCCCCCCCCCCTGGAACAAATAAACATATTTCCAGTAGTCATAGATTCCCTTTCAAACCCGGCAGGGGAAAATGACGAATCTTCCTTTCAGCAAACGGAAGCTTTTGTGCAACACCCCGTGCTTGACCGCTCCACCTTTCCGATGTCAAGAAAAGGACGCAAGGCCTTGAAATTTAAGCAAGCAGCTTCGCTGAAGCCTGATGAAACTTGAACTTGAAGGCCGCAAAAGCTAAAAGCGCGTGATGTTGTAAGCCGCCTGCGAGGCCAATGATTGCTTCACTAGCACCTGGATCTCTAAATGTTGCCGTAATCCACCCAAACAAATGGGTGTGGGTCAAAATTAAACCACCAGCAAAAAGGGACCGCCTATTTTTTCGTCCATGTGTCCATTTACCAGGGCAAGCCATTTTGGGCATACCTATTCTTGACCCACAGCCAAACAAGTTGGATCCCCAAGCCAGGAACCTTAATGTCATCAAGTCGGCCACTGGATCCGCTCAAGGGCGCGGGCGTGGGAACCGAGCACGTAGAAGAGAAAGTCGCTGAACGCCTGCACGTCCTCGTTTGACAAAAACAAAAACGGGCGGCGGATCCGTGTTTCTTCACGGGAAGTGAGTGACTCCTTCTGGGCAAGCGAATTTTACAGAATCCGTTGTTCCGTAGCATCTATCATAGAAAACAACCATTTGGACGCCGTGCTTGACACATCAATCTTTGCTGGAAAATCGCCTGCCGGGTGCGCGAATTTTTAGGACCACGTGGAATGTTCCTTGCTTGTTTGTGTTTTGTTTGGTGCTAAAGGGGAAATCACAAGGAAACCAACTATTGAGGGAGATCCCCTATTTTGACCACAAGCATGTGTCACGCATGTGACGGTGCGTCACCTACTTGCAAAGGCAGAGCCTCATCTGAGGCTCTCAAAGTTGGGTGTCCCCTACTGTAAAATTCTCACTTCCGATCACATGAGACAATGTTTGGGGTCCACGATGTTTCCAGGTCGCTCAGTCAAGACCCCCATTCGCGGGAACTGAACTTCAAAATCTACGGGTTTGTCTGAAAATTCAGAACCCCCTAAAATTATGAACTTCCTTGTGGCTTCCCCGCAAAAACCAACCCAAAGGAGTTGCCCACAACCGGCCCCTACCTCCACCTCCGAGCAACAAACGCCCCGGCCCCGGGCGTGCCAAAGCGGTCGCCAAAGGGCCGCAGTCCCACTTGAGCCCAACCTTATTGCATTTAAAGTCTCAGGGTGGAAGTACCTACCCCCTTGTTCATAACGGTTCCTTGGCTTCCTTGGTTTCCAACCCACTTTCTAAGGGGTATATACCCTTTTGGGGAGAGGGGTATGAACATCAGCAGGCCTTTTGGGTTCATTTGTGCAAGGGGTATGTAAAAGGGGTACGAGCACCCCTGGATAAAGGCCAAGAATACCGCACTTACTGTTGAGACTATCCCTTACTGCTCAAGGCCTCGAACGAAAAAGGATTCGAACCTCGGATTCGAACAAAGTACATCAACTGCGACTTGAGAGCGTGGGGTACCAAAAAAACACAAAAGATTGTTCATGATCATAGGGAGAATGAGGCCGCCTCATTTAGCCCCTCATACTGTGGATGGACGAAATCCTGCACCACTTTGAATCCATGGTTGAATCCAGTATTTGTATTTACGGGGGGAATCATCCTTCCGAGGTTTCTCGGGTGGCGCGAAATGGATTTCGTCCCCACCCCCCCCCCCCCGACGACCCGACCCGCTGGACCCGCTGGCTGGCTCCTCTCCAACGCGGCTGCCTCCCCAGTCGGGATGAGCGGCAAGCACCGCTGCCTTGACGAATTCTGGCCCGAAATGGGAGAGAACCACCAAAAAACATGGTGCTTATAGACTTTTGGTTTCCCTGACCAACCAGAGGCAAACCACTTTGCCCCATTCACC